TAGCACTGAAGATGTAACCTAGCCGGGTAACGAAACATTTGCAAGAAAACAACCAAGCCCAAAGAGCCCCAAGGACTCCACAGTTGAACCCTGAGCCACAGTTATTCTCTTCTATTGGTCAGTCCACCCCTCCAAGCTCTCTCTTGCAATCAGCATGCCCAGCCCTCTACAGGATGCCCTGAGTTTCACTTGAGGGGCATTACCTGCCCATCGTATGTACGGTAGACACATGGCCTATCAAGAATAAAAGCCTATTTAGAGTTTTGGTTGATTATTAGAGAGTGCTGAGTTCCCATCCGCCCTCTCACATAGTCAAAATAGTCACCAATCTTAGAGTCATTCAGTGGCTTTGTGTAGACAGGGAATGTCCTTTGCCAGTCATGAGGCACAGAGGTGGAGACCAATATTTATACTGCTGTTCAGCAATGGCAGTCTGGCAGTCGAAATGTCAGTGAATGCAGCGGGCAGGGTAAGAGGCAGGCGTTTTCAGCCAGCACAGGGACCTTTGCTTTAAGAAGATTCTCGCCCCAAGTCAGGAGCTTGGAAGACTCCTCCTGAGGTGACCGCAATCCTCCTCGTGAGTTCCTACTGAAGTCCACTGCAGAAAAGAACAATCCTTTGCCACTCTTGTAGGGGAATCTTCTTCTATTTGGAGATGCGAAGCATTTTTTTCTGGCAGGGCAGAATACTTTGCCTGCTCCCAAACGCCCGGTGCCTCCCTTCACCCACATTTTGCTCCTGTGGCCCTGAATTGTCTTTCCCCCTTTCCTTTCCTTTCCTCTCCTCTGGGCAGGGGGGTCCCTTTGTCACAGGAGGGGAGGGGATGATGTGTAGGATCAGTTGCGCCGCTCTCTCTCCTGCTGTGAGGCTCCCTTCAGGTCTCTCTGGGCCTGGCTGGAGAAGCACCCCTTGGTGCCCAGGGCCTTTTGCATCCTCCCCCTGTACATCTATGCCCAGTAGGGCCAAGTTTGTTATTTTTTATTTACATTGATGTCACTGGGCACTCTCCGTGTGCTCCTGCACCTTCCTCATTGCGACCATGAGCAGGAAGCATCACGGTCTGACTTCCTCATATGGAGCGTGCAAAGCTTCTCTCCTGGGGGAGGTTTTGGTATTGGGCAAGAGTAGGTGGGGGTCAACAAAGCGTTGATGGAGCTTCAGGTTGGCCTGATCCAATAATGGTCTCCTCCCCTTCAACCATTTGTGCCCAGAGAGGAGGTGGACTGGCTGCTTTAGGAGGCCTTCCGTGTGAAAGCCCAGTGCCAATATCCCAAGAGATCACCAAAGATTGGCTTTGCCTCACAGGGCAGAGAGTGGCCGTGTCCCAGACCCAGTGGATCACCTTCATAGGGATCCTTCAGCCTTGTTAGGGTTAATTCCCTGATCATGCAGTGGAAGATGAAGCTGCTAGGCTGACTCTTACTGCCACAGGGAAAACAACTCATGGGAGGTCAGCATAACTCTAGAAATGCACCCTCAGATTGCGGGGCCTCCTGCTGTGAACGGGTGTGGGTGAATGCCAGCAGCCCTGAGGCAGAACATGGACTGCTCATCACATTTCTACTTCGATGAAAAGATCATTATATACTTCAACTGCTAAAGACTTTAAT